TGATCACATCCTAGGACAGATAGGGTGCCACATATACCTCCCAGAAGATAGTGCCATACGAACACTAGCCTTCTTGTTTGTAGGAGGACTTCTAGCATACCAAACACGCCAGCCTAGAAGACAGCAATGCTTTGGGAAGAGTACCTATTAGTATATACGGCAATGTATTTAAGCCTAGTCTCGCTAGGGTCTTACACCCCAGCTTCGGCTAAAGTTATACACTCCTAACTTTTCACGCAGAAACTCCTCGTTTCATGCCTAAGGACTATCGTACCTTACCTAGCGATTGCAACGCCCTCTTTACAACTGAATCACCAAACGCGAGTGACAGTTTAGAGGCAAACATTGTTCAATCCAAGTTAGTGTGTTACACAAGAAATGTAGCATGGAGAGAAGTGGAGAGTTGTTCTTGAGTGAAAATGGGTTGAAATTATGAGGGTTGACTTGAGCATATTGACTATCCCTCTCTTTAGGGTAGACATCCTATCATCTAGTAAGGGCATCCAGTTTCCCACCAAGTTTACCCAGTCAGAACCAAATGATAAGGTTCAATTGGGAGAGGAATTCAGACCAGCACACTTGATGTCGAGTAAGGACCTTGGTAGTAGAGAAGTATTCAAGATTCTTATGATCTGTGATGATGTCAATGGCTTCCACAGAGCCTTTGAGGTAATGATGCCAATATTTGAAGGCTTTGAAGATGGCTAGGAGCTCTTTATCATGTGTATCATAGTTGAGTTTGATGCCATGGAGATTCCAGGACAAGAAGGAGATTGGATGGATCTCACCATCATCAAGGTAGATGGATAGGATAGTGGCAATAGTGTAGTCAGAAGCATCGGTTTCCATAACCAATTGGTGGTCAGGAAGCCAGTGAGTAAGGATAGGTGCATGAGTAAAAGCCTACTTTAACTTGTTGAAAGCAGATAGGCATTCATCATCAAATTTCCATGAAGTACCCTTGCAAGTGAGTTGTGTTAAAGGCAGGATGATCTCACTGTACTTGTGAATAAAATGGTGGTAGAAATTAGCGAAGCCAAGGAAGGATTGAATATCCTTGATCTTCCATGAAACTGGCCTGTCGGTAATAGCCTTGACCTTGTCATCAGACATGCATAAGCCTTTGGGTGAGAGGATATAACCAAGATATTCGATGGAGTCCTGATGGAACTTGCACTTTGAACCCTTGCAGTAGAGGCCATTGGCTTGGAGTCTGCATAGAACTTCATGTATGTGTTTTCGGTGCTCCTCAGGATTGTTGGAGTAGATAAGGATGTCATCAAGGTATACAACAATGGATACATCAAGCATGTCAGAGAAGATGTCATTGATGAAGCATTGGAAAGCTGCAGGGGCATTTGTAAGGCCAAATAGCATGATACATCATTCAAAAGAGCTGTAGCAGGTCCAAAATGCAGTTTTCCATTCATCACTCTCAGCTATGCAGATGAGATGGTAGGCATGATGAAGGTCTAGCTTATTGTAGAGATGAGCAGAATGTGCAGAGTTGAGGAGGTCAGAAATAAGGGGCAGAGAGTAATGGTCTTTTTTAGAGATTTTATTAAGTCCACAATAATCTACACAGAGTCTAAGTTCACTGGTCTTCTTCTTGACAAACAGTACCAGAGCTCCGTGTGGAGAACAGGAAGGAGTGATAAACCCATTACAGACATTACCGTTAATGAATTCACATAAGGCTTTTAGTTTGGATTTGGAAAGGAAATAAATGGGATCAAGCAGAGGAGTGGAGCCTTCCTCAATATTGATCTTGAGGTCGTAGGGCGATGCTTGGGGAGTTTTTCAGAAAGAGAATCACTGAATATGTCAGTGAATTCATGGTACTCCAGTGGGACATCAGATAAATCAGTGAGGGCTGCAGAGGTAGCTTTGGCACTAACACTAGATATAGAAGGCTGTAAGGTGAACTGCTGAGCATCTTCTTCTGCACAAGCTCAGACAAAAGTGGCAGCTGAAATAATAGATATCTTGGGAGAGGCTGAAGCACCAAAGGAAGGAATGGTAGGGTAGGAATAGATAGGCTCATAAGATGGTGAAGCCTATCAGGATCTCAATTTTGGAGTGGAAGATGAGGATTAGGATGTTTGGATTGGACTGGAAGAGTCCAAGCAGACTGACACATGTGTGTCAGCAGCCATGGAAGTGTTTGAGGAAGAAATAACTGATAATGGTGAATGGAAAGTGATACTGTGCTTTATCCAGTCAATCAATGGATTGTAGTGGGAGAGCCAGTTGTATCCCAGAATAACATTACAAGATGAATCTAAATAAGTGACATAGAAGTTAATAGGAAGAATGTCTCTAGATGGGAAACAGATGGGTAAAGAAATAGATTGAGAGATATGAGATCTGACAGAGCCATCAAGAAGCCAAAGTTGGACAGGAGAAATAGATTTGGTAGGAGATTGTGATCCTCAATGTACTTCAAGTCAATGAAGCAGTGACTAGAGCCAGAATCAACGAGTGCAAGAAAACAAAGAATAATAGAAATGGGTGAACCATCAGACTCCGATCTGGAGCCGACTTCAGAGGAGAGAGAGATGGTTAGGGAATGGTCAGAAAGAGCAGCAGCATTGAGGGTTATGATCTCCAATGCACAATGACAGTCAACACAACCCTGTTCTAGTGCAGAGGATACCAGGTTGCTCTCTACTTTCCTGATTCTAAAGAAACTGGTTCTATAGAGGCAGTGGACTCAGGAGTGGGAGAAATAGCAGCAGCATGGCCATAAGCAGAGGCTGCACCCTTGCACTTTTTGTAATCTTCAGTTTTATGCTTACCTCCACAGAACATGCAGAGATTATTCTTCCAATGATAATTCTTTTCTTCTTGAGTAAGATGGCCATCCTTGCCTAGCTTATCAGTATAGGGCTTGGGGTTGGAAGATGAAGATGATTCCGTGGAGCCTGAATTAGAGGACTTTTGGCCTGCAGAGTAGGAGTTGGAAGACAAAGAGTCAGAACTCTTCAACTTGTTGCCATTGTTAGAGGAGGAGAGGTTACTGTGATTTTCTCAGGATATCTCAGCCCTCTGAGTCCAGTAGCAAGTGTTGAGCTTCTGAGCAAGATTGCATATATCATGAAGGTTATCGGGTTTCCCATGGTAAGCCATATCATCCTTGATGCGAGAGCAAAGATCATGGTAGAAAGCATAATGAAGAGAGTTGTTGCCATAGCCGATAATGGCAGCATACTAATTGAATTTGACAATATACTTCATGATGCAGTCTCTGTCATGCATCCAAAGGTTTTTGAGTTCATCTTTGGCATCACTGACAGCATCAAAGAGGCTGAATTTGGTTTGGAGTTCCAAAAGAAAGGCAGTATAAGAGTATGCCCAAGCAGGGGGGTTGCAGTGGTTAGGATGAAGAATATCCAGCTCAAACCAGTTGAAGGCAACACCAGAAAGGAAGGAGATAGCATAGTTGACCTTCACTGTATCCAATCAGAATGCATCAAGATAGTTATTAAAGTTCAACTGAAGGGAGACAATAAAGGCTTTCAGTTTTTAAGAGTCTGAGCCATCAAAGGTATCTGGTTCCTTGACCTTGGTGCATATAGCACACTGGCAGTTGCTATTGACAGCATCAGAAATGCTGAAGAGGACATTCATGAGTTGAACAAGAATCTGGACATCATTATTAGGGGGGTTCAGATTGTTACCAGGATTATTGTTCAGACCACCTCCAGGACCACCGGGACTGCTGGGGCCACCAGGATTGGGTGGGCCACTGCCAGGATTTCCTGATAGGGGTCTTTGGCTATTTATTGAGGTGTGAGGAATGAAGTCCCCATCTTCCAATCCTTGGTTGTCTTCCTCATCCCAATCTCGGATGTCATTGAACAAGGATGTAGATGGATTCCATGGAGGATTATTTTGGTACTTGCTCCAGCCATTAGATTCTGATTGCTGGGCTAAGAAGGAGTTAGGTGATCTGTTAGCATCAGATTGGCAAGCAGTGAAACCACTATGCAGGTAGGTTTCCCTATGGGTGCATTAGGAAGAAGCAGAATCTGATCCAAAAGGAAGAGAACTCTCTTTCAACACAGAGGCAGGGATATCTTCCATAGTGTAGGTTTAGTTGTTAGCCATGGAGTTGCAGCTGATTTCTGGATGAAGGGTGAAAGTAGAAGATATGGTGGAGATGAAAAATTTTGACTCAAGGGTTTGAGTTCAAATATACTGTCAGGATTGTGCCAATAGGAATGTGGCAGAGGTTGCATGTAGCAGAAAGCCATGGAATGCATCAGGCATAGGTGAAGCTATTAGCAACATCACTCCTGAGCCAAAGCCCTAAGATGAATACAGATGGAAGTCCATGGAGTGACAGAGACAAGGTAGGAGATAAGTCCAACAGATCAGAGTTCCACAGACTGGAGAACTAGAGTTTTGACTGGGAGTCAGAGAGAGAGATTGGGCTCAACCAAGTTGATATTCGAACTGAGTATCTACAATGTAATTCTACAGTTTATATACTAGTTAGAAGTCTGATCCAGTTTCTACTCAGAGTGGTCTACATTCTAGGGTGGTTGGTAGTTGTAGTCTACCAATCAGTAGCTGATGGAGTCTGATGATATGCTGTGCTACTGATGTCAGGCTATTAGTAAATTAAAATGGAGAGGTGAAATGTAAAATGAAATATGAAATAGAAACTGGAAATCAGAATCTGTTGAATTCTAAAATGTGGTTTGTTGGAGTTAGGGTTGGAGTTGGAGTTCCATCAGTATGCATGTTACATTAGGTTTGGACAGCATGCACATTACAGTATCCCCCTCTTAGCATTCTTGCCCTCAAGAACACAGATCCTGATGACTGAGCATGTCTGCATGGGGTTTTGCAGAGTGGTCACATGAAAATTCATTTCTTAACTATTAACCATCACCATCTCTTCTGATTTTTTAACTTTGTTCTCATTGTCAACTATGTTGTCAACAGTTGAATAGCACCTTTCTGTAATCCCTGAGCCTTATGAGGCACCCCTGATGCCCACTGACATTACTCCTGACAAGCTGGAGATCTTTTTCAAACAATGGGATGCCAATATTGAAGCATACAACAAGGCCATGGAATGCTGGGACAAGTATAAACAAAAGCAGGCTAAGTTAGAAACCACAGAGAAGGCTAAAGAGGAGAGGAAAAGAAAAAGGGCCTTGAGACTTGAAAAGGCAAAGGAGGAGGCAAAGGCAAAGGCTGCTACTGCTGCTGCAGAGAAGCAGTGGTTAGAAGATGAGGCAAAGGCTAAGGCTTTGGAGGAGGCTAGGAAAGCCATGGAGGCTGAGAAGGAAAAAGAGAAGGAGAAGGAGAAGAAAGGTGATAAAGAGAATAAGGATAGTAGCAGGTCCAAAGGGGATGACAAGAGGGAGAAGGATCCAAAAGAAGGGTGTTGAGAAAGTTGGTGAAGCAGAGGCATTATGGGCCTCAGAACGAGTTACAGATACTCAGTCAACAGGTTAGAATAACTCATCACCTGGCAATCAGGTGAGGACCAGGTTGTCATGGACCAGGCTGTGCCAGCAGGTGGCTAACAGGTTTCTCACAGTCACCGGATTTTTAGGTTTGAATAACTTGGCATAAGTATTTATATACTGTTCTTCTCTTTGTCAACAAACTTCTGCCAGTCTAGCCACAAGCACTTATGTTCCTCTTCAGCTATCAACCACTGTCTCAAATCTGCATTGTCCATCCAATCTGCAAACCTCTCAAGCCTTTCCAATGCCTTGTGAGCTTCTTCCAACCCTGAGCACAATACACATGGATTAAGTTCAACATTGAATGATGAGTAAAACATTTCAAGCTCATTAAAGATGCATGTTATTCCATTGGAGAGGTCAATATCAGCAGTCATGAAATCCCATGTGCTCGGACTGTTGTATTGGAGGTCCACATCAGATTCACCAATCTGTGTATTTTTCAGAGAAGCTGATACTCATAGTAAAGAGTTGACATTAAGCCCTGAGTTTACTTGAGGGATGTCATTTGGTTTAACAGCTCTAAAAGTACTCAGTTGTCAGTGTTATCCAAATAGAGAGCAATGAAAGCTGACGAGCCGTTTTCCCAATTTTCAATGTTCAATAGCATCCTTCATCATACCCCAATAATATCTCTTTTTCTAGGGTAATACCCTGTGAGACAGGACCTGACTATGTGATACAAGCTTTGGCTAAATGTGACACACTAACACAAATCTGCAAGGCATGATCTCTAACTATCACTCACATTTGGTGATTCAGTGAGAAGAGAAGCATTGGCAGATCGTTGTTTAAGTAGTGTTGCTTAGATAGTCCACAAGCAGGGAGTTCAGTAAGAGTTAGGAGTGTATAACCTTAGCCAAAGCTGGGGTTTGAGACCACAGCATAGGCCAGCTTAAATACATGTCTTAAAAATAGCATAGCATCTATGCTTTTTATGTAGAAGTTTGGGCTCCATGCGTAGAAGTATGGGCTTCAGTGAATGAGCATGACTGAGTGTAAAGATCATAAAGGGCTGGAGTGCTAAGCAGCTCCAGAGTGAAGGAATATATAGAGGTCATAGAACTGCATCATGATAAGAACCCCACAGAAGTGATGAAAGTGATGGGGGCATTGATGTACATGTGGTCTCTGGGAGATCCTGGTACTGGGTGCTGAGAGATAAGATAAGATAAAGTGAAAAATAGGGATGAAACCATGACACTTACTCAATGTCAAGTGTGCTAGTCTGAATTCAATCTTGTGATTCAGTTCTGACTGGGTAAACTTGGTGGGAAACCAGATGCCCTTACTAGATGATGGAATGTCTACTCTAAAGAGGAGGATAGTCAATATGCTCAAGTCAACTCTCATAATTTCCAACCTGTTTTCACTCAAGATCAACTCTCCACTTCTCTCTGTGCTACATTTCTTAAAGGCCCTGTCTTACGTACTAGTGCTATCATGGACATTGACAAGCTTCATTCTAATATTAAGAATGCACAGCCATTGGACTCTGCTGCCACTGAAGGCCTTTGACTCACATCCTCCCCTTCCAATCCCTCTTAGTGGTCTGTGGATCAATCAGGATTACTACATCTTGACAGCCACATTCATGTCTCAGACTCTGATGATCTCTGTCTTTGTATTCTCCAAAACAATCATGACCACATCTTAGCAGGTCATTTTGGTCAAAATTGGACCCTGGAACTTGTGTGATGGAATTACACCTGGCCACAGATGTGTGAATATGTTCACCACTATGTCAAATCTTGCACCACTTGCAGACATAACAAAGCATCCAGACACCACTCATTCAGCTTACTCAAACCCTTGCCAGTTCTGGAATGCTCATGGGATTCCATTTCCATGGACTTTATCGAACAATTACCAGACTCCAATGGATTCACTGCCATTCTTGTAGTGATTGACCATGCAAGTAAACAAGCAATTTTCATCCCCACTCATGATACCATCAACTCTGAGAAGCTTGCCTGGTTATTCGTTACCCATGTGTTTGCTAAGCATGGCGTTCCCAATCACATAATCTCTGACTATGGCTCTGAATTTGTCTCCCAGTTCACATGTGCCCTTGCTAAAGCTTTAGATATGGAGCTTCACTTCACTTCTGGATATCACCCAGAGGCTGATGGACAAACTGAACATGCTAACCAAACTCTGGAGCAATACGTCTGCATCTACTGTTCCTATCAACAGGACAACTGGGACACATTACTACCCATTGCCGAGTTTGCTTACAATAATGCTCCCAACATCTTCACCAGAATCTCTCCATTCTTCACTAACAAAAGCTACCATCCCAACATCACCATGCATCCAGAATGAGATATCGCTTCTGCTCAGGCCCATGACTTCATTGTTAACCTCAATGAGCTCCACCAATTCCTTCAAGATGAGATCACCCATGCTCAGTCACGTTACAAATTCCAAGCAGACAAGTGATGGTCCCTGGCTCCTGACCTCAAAGTAGGTGAGAAAGTCTACCTCAGTTCTAAACACATCAGAACTACTTGCCCTACTGCAGAATTCACCAAAAAATTCCTAGGACCATTCGACATCATTGCTCAGCCCAGATCCCATTTCCTTCACTCTCAAACTCCCAATGAACCTCTATTCTATTCATTTTGTCTTCCACATCTCCCAACTTGAACCTGTGGAGACCAACACTATCCCTAATCATACCCAACCTTTTCCACCTCCAGTCGAAGTCAATGGTGAAAAACAGTATGAGATTGCTCAAATTTTTGGACTCAAAGCTTGACTGTCAGTTTCATTATCCATTCTTATACCAAGTTCATTGGTTGGGTTATGAAGGTACTGATGAGTTTGCTTGGATCCCTGCTACAGAATTCTTCATAGACGAATATATTGAAGATTTCCACCATCATTACCCAGACAAACTAGAACTGCTATCCAAAGTCACCATCTGCAAAGTCTTCCTTAAACCCTCACCCATTACTTCTTGACCTATCCCTAAATTCTTAGCATCCTACAGTTTCTGCCTCTCAAATTTCAGATCAAATCCTGAAAAACTATTGCAAATTACCTTCTTAATCAGGAACAGAACCCAATGAACACCTATTTCTTAGTTTTTCTCACTTTTCTCTCTCAATCACTCAAGTATACAAGTCAAGATATATATATATTGCCCACTGGGGCCTGCACTGTCAAAATCTATGTATAAAAAACATTTCAAAAAAATAATTTAAGTCCAAGAGGCATCTAGGAGTTTGTGGGTACCAACTTTCCCATTATCACATCTTCCTCCTCTTCATTTACCTTATCCTCTTCCCCTTTCTTTTTCTTGTCACTCATCATGATTAACTCCAAGTCATCCAACTCCAGGATCCTGATGGTATCTGTGCTAGGGCACATCTCATCCCTCTTTTTCTCTTTAGATGCCCATTCAATCTGATGGCCTCCAAGCACATGAAACTTCTTCCTGGTGTTCAAAAAATGGTCATGGTGACTAATGGCCAATTGGAGTCTGTCCTCTCTGAGGTAACCATACCACACTTGCATATTCACATCCTTGAAGGGATCCTCGGTGTTGAACAACTTTGTACCAGTAACATAGGAGTGCCAGATGTGGGCAACATTCTCATCAAGTCACATCTTCATTGTGATCTGTAGGGCTTTTGCATTCACATTCTTGAGCTCTCCCAGCTCAACCTTTGATGCTGCCTATTCTTCCTTGAAATCCTTCTCGATAAAATCAAGTAGCCACTCCAAGGCATCACTCTCATGGAAATCATCCACCAAGTCATCAATTTGGCTCCTAAGAAAGTCGACCTTTCCCTCAACCCTCTCCAAACCCTCCTGAAAATCCTCCATCTTGTCGCAAAGTTTTTGTAAGAGCTCTAAGACCTTCTCAGACCCTGCAGCTTCTGATCTCTTGCCTTGACTAAATATGCACTTGGTCTTCTTTAACTTACACTGCTCACAAGTATGATCACTCTGAATAAAACATTTGATGTCATCAGTCTTACAACATCCACAATTCTCTATACAACAAGTCAGTAAAACATTCAGGACTGCAGAAAAAACATACCATTGTTTTTATACTCTTCATCATCAGCTTGCATCTCAGGCTCAGTTTTCAATTTCTTCAAAGGCCTCTCCAACAGCCTCATAACATTCTCACCTCCACTCAGTACCACTTTGCTAGAGTTCACTTTCCTCTTCTTTAATCCTCCCATAGCCTTCAAATCTGTTGCTTTGCTCTTGTCCTTCCTATCCTTCCTCTGCTTCACCAACTTTCTCAACGCCCTTTCTTTTGGATCCTTCTCCCTCTTGTCATCCCCTTTGGACCTGCTACTATCCTTATTCTCTTTATCACCTTTCTTCTCCTTCTCCTTCTCTTTTTCCTTCTCAGCCTCCATGGCTTTCCTAGCCTCCTCCAAAGCCTTAGCCTTTGCCTCATCTTCTAACCACTGCTTCTCTGCAGCAGCAGTAGCAGCCTTTGCCTTTGCCTCCTCCTTTGCCTTTTCAAGTCTCAAGGCCCTTTTTCTTTTCCTCTCCTCTTTAGCCTTCTCTGTGGTTTCTAACTTAGCCTGCTTTTGTTTATACTTGTCCCAGCATTCCATGGCCTTGTTGTATGCTTCAATATTGGCATCCCATTGTTTGAAAAAGATCTCCAGCTTGTCAGGAGTAATGTCAGTGGGCATCAGGGGTGCCTCATAAGGCTCAGGGGTTACAGAAAGGTGCTATTCAACTGTTGACAACATAGTTGACAATGAGAACAAAGTTAAAAAATCAGAAGAGATGGTGATGGTTAATAGTTAAGAAATGAATTTTCATGTGACCACTCTGCAAAACCCCATGCAGACATGCTCAGTCATCAGGATCTGTGTTCTTGAGGGCAAGAATGCTAAGAGGGGGATACTGTAATGTGCGTGCTGTCCGAATCTAACTCCAAC